AGTAGTAATCGAAGTTCTTGGATTGTCTTCCTTCTACTCTTAATGACCTCTTTATTTCATTGCGATATTGCCAGTGCTGAACAAATTTCACTGTACGTACGATGTGCAATTTTATCATCTTCAGAAGTGATTAAAATTATTCGAAATAGGCTGCGATTGGCTAGAATAGTTGTCGAACTTCGTAGTTATGTGACCAATTAGACAACTTCATTCCGTCTGAACTCGAAGTCAAGGTGGGCGTTGCATTCCCTCTTTCCCAGTAGTCTTTAGTTGAAATGCACCATATGCTTGGCCAAACAGCTGTGACCAATTCCATCAACTGTACTGTTTACAGGTAGTCTCGAACCATATAAAGTTCCCCTTATGAAATCGCACCAACTGTAGTGATTTTTGGCGTCCATTTGTAAGGTTATAAACAGGCCTTGGCTACAAAGCTTCACCATACATTTGTAGTCGACGCCTGTTCATAACCGGTAGAAGATCTCGTTTTTCAAGTCTCGGTTGAAGTAGTAGCTCTTTTGGGCGGTGAAAATTTGAATACCTCTAAAACTACAATAGCCAAGCTCATGTTGTAGTACTGTATGCGAGGTTGTTATTAAAGGGTTGATAACCAATTTAGGATAACTTTTTTATCTTAAAGTATGTATGTGTCGGAGCATTGAAACTCTGTGTTTAGGGTAAGCCGTTACAACAGGTTGCATATAATTTATACAAGGGTACTGTTTTATAGACTTATATTTCTGTTGTGGAAAGATGTCCACCGAGTTTAACACTCGATAAAACCTCAGATCCAACCCAATGTGGCCCGTGTCGACTAGGGTACTTCAAGCCCAATCTTGAATGACAGTTACCAATGGTTTCTACTACCGATGCTAGCACTCGTTCCAGCTTGCGGTTCGTGTACATTTCATTCACCTGACGGAATGGTCAACATTATATGACAGAGGTATGACTAAAAAAAATAATGAGGTGTGATTGGGCAGTACAAAGTTATCTTAAACTGGTGTTTTACGTTAAGGGGAGAGCCACATTGGATATAGTCGGAGTGAACTCATCAGTGCACAATTCTCTGGAGCAGCATCACACAAAATTCAAGCGTCCAAACAGTTCATACAGTCAACCTATTTCGTTGGATGGCACTTCAATCCCCCGTCGTCGTCGCCACGGAACAGGACAAGCTCGCGGGTGCTGACCAAGAGGTGATTCTGCTGCAAAAGCTCTACCTGTGAACTTAGGCATGGCACGAGCCATATTCCTGTGAAGGCAACCGCATTGCCTTTTACGTGCTGGAGTTCGTGTCGTTGACTGGGGATGGCATCTTGTGCGTACACACGACAACCACCACGTGACAAGTAGTGCGTATGTGGTTGTTGACGGTGTTGGCATTGCTCATCGTGGGGTGTTTGGTTTCATGAAAACCATCACCCCAGGCCAAGGCCTCTTCATCGTGTTCTTCTATCTGTGCCAAGTGGTTGGTCATGTGAACCATCACACAACAACGCATGACCAGCCTGATGCTTGAATGTAGGTGGACATTGTGTTTATCATCGTCTTCAAGCTCTGCCAGTGTTATAGCCAATCGTGTGTAAGAAACAAGGTGTGATGGACTCTGATTGGATATTAGAAAGGTGGAATCACAAAGATACTGCTTATAGTTTGACCAAAGAACAATGTAGTCTCAAAGGTATTTTGCTGCAGTATACAATTTTCTCTATAATACAAAAAACGCGTAGCAGAAAGAAAAAAAATGACCAAAAACGTGTTCTTTGGACAAAGATGTAATTTTCGATTGAAGTATAATGGAATTCAATTGAGTAGATAAATCGAGTTTCAATGCAGTTTTTACCTTTTGTATTGTATGTAAACATAGATCCACAATACAATGTGTCTGAGGAACATCAGCACAGAACTTTATCTTTTAGAGTGTTTGCCCAATCGCCGCAGGCCATAATTGATGTCAATGACAGCTCATCTTCCCTTCATGGATGGGTCTCAAGTGTCGTTGCCATCTCCCGATGGAAGTAAAATGGACAGTGTGCTCTCAGTTCTAATCAAGCGTATTCAGGCTCCAACTGAGTCGATAGACATCCAGCAGTTAACACTATTCCGTGCAATTGAGACCTTGATGCTACAGCATCACATCAATAACAGATAAGACCACACGAAAGAAGTCCATACATTAAAGTCTTCTCCATAGCACGAAGACTACATTACGATTCTAAAAGGTGGGATGCAAAGTCGCCAAGGCATGCAACAACTTCGACGTCACCAGCTGTGAGGGCTGCCACGACCTTCTTCGACAGCGTCACTGCGAGTTCAACCGACTTAATCGCATCCACCCGTCCATACAACATCATAACCGCCTCATGAGCCGTCACAATCTTCTCATACTTGGTGTTGTCGACGCCTTGCATACGGACCCCGAGAAACTCTGCGATAGCATAGAATGCCTTGCCCAGGGTACAACACTTTGAGACTCGAACATGTGACGTTTGCGCCTTTTTGTCTTCGGTCGTAAACTGCACCACAGGTTTGAATAGGTGCTGTGTCGGTGATGGAAAATAATAATATCGTTGCAGCATTTTCCAACTCGTCCCTTTTGGAAGCACAGACGATGGGATCGGCAACACAGGATCGTTGCAAGCGGATCCAACCATGACATGGGAGCTACAGGGTGGGTCTGAGTTTTGTTCGAGGTGAACAGGGAGGTTACTTGGGGAGGCAAAATGACCAAGCAGGAGTGCTTCCATGTCATTAATACGGGCCATGACACGAGTTTCCAACACTGGATCGTTGCTAGTAGGTCCAACCACGACGTTTGGTGTACTCAAAGCATCAAAGCGTGGTTCAAGGTGAAGAGGGAGGGTGCTCGTGGGACCAAAACGATCAAGGAGGCGTGCTTCCATGTCGTCGATTCGGGCCATGACACGACCTTCCATGCCCTCAAGATACGACTTGTACACGTTCGCCATAGCTAATTGCCCCCCGTCCTCGTTCGGTGCAACCGGTTCCGAGAGCTGTTCATGAGTGCTGTAGATCCACGTGGTTGGGCAGCCGGCTAAGTGCTTCCGGTCCGGGGACATCGCGTCAGCAAGCACTTCTTCTTCGGCAACATAAATGCTATTGAGAAGGTATTTCATGATGACATCGCACTTGTCTTGCTCCGACCAACCACCCCACCACTTCAACATCTTCAAACTCCAACGCTTGTCTTTGTCCTCGTGATAGAACTTCCATTGTGCAAGACGCAGACAGGTTTGAGTACTTTCGTGACAACGGTATTTGGGGGAACACAAGGTCCTCGTTGAAGTTGTGCTTCATCGCAGTGTCGACGTATTCGATCCACGAGTCGAAGTGGTGCTTGCCACAAATATCACTATCCCAGAGCTCTTGGCAATGGTGCAAACGATATGTGCGGTCATTTCCGGACTCGGTTTTTCGGTCGTGCAAGGTGTACTCGTGGTACTCGAGACGCACGTTGGGGTCTTGTTGACTGGTCGTGGACCAAGGACTTCACTCATTCTGGCGCACGGGTACCAGCTCAGCGAAGTGACAGCCTTGAACCACAGAGTGAATGATTTCGATGTGTCGTTGGAACGGTCCAAGAAAGCGTACAGGGTCTTCAGCATCGGTTTTGTCATGGGGGGCGCACGTCGCGTTACGTGAGTCGCCTTCTTTTCCTTTTGCAGGCCCTTGAAGCAACCCAGCACAACAGGAGACGTCATGGGATTTCCATATCCCTGACCGTCCTTGACACACCACGAACTGGTTCCATATCCATCGTTGTTGTACTTATAGAACTCCGATATTCCTGCGCGAGCCTTGTTGGCAACGTTCATGGAGGGTGAGTTTCCCGCATCGTCCGGCAGCATGAGCTGACCCACGTAACAGCAAATAGCTTCGGGAAGCCGCGCAAACCGCGTCAATCGTGGATCGTGGGCGTACTCTGGATTGTCGTGGCATCATGAAACGAACTTACTCCAGTTTGAGTTGTTCTCTTTCTTCGTGTTGAGGGTGACACGCTTGCCAACCATTGCTTGACTGAAGGCCATTACTTTAGCTCGGTGCTCGCTGTCGTAGTTCGTTGGCCCGGCTTTAAACCGTTTTCCTTTGGGTGCTGTTGTTTCGCAGCGCTCCTTCTTTTCGGGCACTCTCGTTGTCTTTGCTTTGGATGCTTGCTCGTCGTTGTCCATGATCCCACCGCCGTAACCGATACACTCGTCAACACTCGTTAACGAGTTACCTTCATTTGTCGACGTCAATCATTTCACCTCGGCGTCAAACATTTCACTCACTTCGGCGTCAAACATTTCACTCACTTCGGCGTCAAACATCTACTTCGGCGTCAAACATCTACTTCGGCGTCAAACATAATACTCCGGCGTCAAACATAACACTTCGGCGTCAAACGTCTATTTTGGCGTCTTACTCCTTACTGCGGCGTCGCTGTCATGCTAACATTTTGGCGTCGAACAATATACTTCGGTATTACGATTCGGCGTCAAACATTACGATTTGGCGTTAAATACTAAACTTCGGCGTTAAATACTAAACTTCGGCGTCAAACATTCTGGTTCGGAGTCAGTATGACACTATTTGTCTTAAACGTATGGCAGATGTACACTATATTGGGTCATTCTGTTCGTCATTGTTGCCGACCCTTTCCATGGAAAACTTGCTTCAGTGGCGCGGAGAGTTCGGGTTAGGACCTGGCCTTCACAACTATGGAAAAACGTGTTACGTCAACGCTGTTTTAGAGTGCTTGTTGCACCTTCCTCCCGTGGTTCAGTCCCTCCTGCCACCGTACCAGCCTGCCCTGACCACACAGTTCAGCCCCCAAGACTGCCTAAGCAGGATCGTTCATGACATCCACGTAAACGATTCAACGAAACGCCGCAAGACGTGGCCAAACGGGTATCGAATGGACGAGTTGCACAGTCACCTAGCTGACGTTTGGCTGTCGTTTGGTGCTGGACGCCAAGAAGACGCGCACGAGTTTTTTTTTTTCAGTTCGTGTCAGCCATGCCCATGTGTCTACCAGCTTTCGGTGGCGAAGTGTTCAACATTGTTGAATATAATACTTGCAACACCCAGGCCAGGTAGAGCAAATTATCATTAGCTTATTAATCTAGTACTGTAGATCGTCTAAGGTGTTTCTCGACATCGACATTCCAGTCACTCCAGACGTTGTCACTGTTGAGGACAGCCTAAGAAGAGCATTTGGTACCACCGCGTTAACGGGCGATAACTCGTACGAGTGCACCTATTGCAATCGCCGATGCCCAGCTGTGCGTACAAGTGCCATTGCAGAGTGGCCCCATGCATTAGTGCTGCGTGTCCTACGCTTCGCGGTCGGTGAAAAACGCACCATAAAAAAGAACGGCCAGCCCATCCAATACACATCAGAGCTGAACATGAGTGAGTTTGCCACAGTGGATCACGCGGTACAGTGTAAACCACCACGATCGATAGACTACTAAAATAGATTACTAAAATACTTGCATAGGATATTGTGTACGAGCTTCGAGGAGTTGTCCTACATCTGGGGAGTTCACTGACTTCGGGTCACTACATTGCGTACGTGCTGGCACCAAGTGGGCGATGGTTCAGTATGGACGACCAGGTATGTATGTCCACGAATATAGCCTCGTTGCTTGCGACAAACACATACATACTGTTTTACACGGCAAAAGAGTCCTACAAGTGCGACCCCCCACTGACTACACAACATGCTACATCTCAAGTACAAGGTACATCGACACTTCATCCAAGGTGCGTTTAGAACACTCTCTAGACCACGAGCCATGGCTAACAGACCCAACGTACACTTCATCACCAGTGGCGCTACCACGTTCGTACCACAAATTGTAAATGTATGATAGTAATTAGATTCAATGGAATAGCTAAGTCGGCAGCACATCCAACGCAACACAGCCCCCAACGCAGCCCCCAACGTAGCCCCCAGCGTATCCCGGAAAGCAACCCGCATTATAGCCCGCAATATGGCGGTCCCGAGTACAGCCCTCAAAGCACCTCACAACCTAGTCCCCAACACAGTCTCCAAGGCAGCCACCTATGTAGCACACGAAATGTTAGTGTGCCAAGTAGCTCACGTTGTAATTCTATGTATTTTACACCAGTATTGCAGAATTTCTATTTAACATATTATATATCCTTTAGCATCACCGACATCAGCATTTACTACCCCATCGTATTCTCAGGCTCATGTAGTGGCACGTCGAAAAGCCTACTACGAAAAAAACAAGGCAAAAACTCGTCAACAGCAACGCAAGTACGATTCAAACGAGGATGTGAAACAACGTCGTAAAGTGCTCCAGAACGAACGTGAACGTGTCAGACGTGCATCGAACACGTTAACCTCCCAAGCGAAGTGGCGACGGAAAGACCCTGAAAAGACCCGATGCTTGCGTCGACAAAGGTATTTGAGAGAGAAGGCAAAAAAGGAGGCTCTACGTGGACTACCAGTTAGTGCTTCTCCTGCTTCTGACGTAGCTCCATAAGTGTATAATGCAAGCTGAAAATGGTTTGTTTGCATACGAATGTTAAATGCATACACACTTTGGTTTGTGGTGTTGGATAGCAACGGAGTCAAATGTTTTTGCACAGAAGAATTAGGGAATCACACAACCGTAACAGCTGTATTATTACAAATTCCAGTGCAGTGTTATTTGCGCTATAATACTGTGTTTGAATTACACCATTAAATGATACAATACTTGCCATTGATTGGCTCATGAGTTAACCCAATGTTTGCCTTTTGCCAATAATATCACATTACTTGTTACGGATTGGCTTATGAGGTAATCAAGTCATTGGACAAATGTTCTCGACAAATTTATGATAGGCTGACGATTTTAATAGGCCAGCTAAATTTTGCTATTCATTCGTATTGCTTGTTACTGGTTGGTTGAGAAAAAGATGATATAAGAGGCCATTGGCCTACTCAAAATTGCGATTTACTGATAGGCTTGTATAAAAAACGAATCTAAAGATGCCTAAGATCAACTAACCTAACATCAAACCTGCCATCCTGGTCAGCTTGACCTACTTATCTTGTTGCTAAGTGGCTGAAATGGGCATTAGCATCAAAACGTCATTGGGCAATTTGACGTAGCTTGCTGCTCATTGGTTTAATGTCAAGTTCTTGAATTCGTAACGAAACGAGGATTACAACTTGACGCTCCTACGCCAAAATAGAACACGTTTCGCCTACAGGTCCATCGACATGGCTGGGAGAGCGTTCGTTAACCTCGCCACGCTATCCGAGCAAGAGCTTGGGGCCTTTCGTGATACGCTGCCCTCGCATCGTGTTCCGACTAGTAACCGTACAGGCTGCACTGTCAACCATGGCGACCCATTTCTCCTTGCCTGCTTTAACCCGCATGACATGCAAATCAAGTATACGCGCTGTGTGTCCGCTAGATGTCATCGCCCAGACCCCATCAACGGCGAATTGGCCGTGCCAAGATGCAATGCTTCGTACAGGATTAGAGTGTGATCGGTGTCTGCGACAGCCACTGTGGACATATGTGGTGTCCACGCAATGCCACCTGAACTACAGGGACATGCGTCACCTCGTCCAACGAAGGCACGAACTCTCTGTATTGCAGTAATAGATCTAATGTTTAAGTAGGTAACACCTGACATGAAGGATCATTTGCGCGAATGGATTACAGAGCAGCCTGCTCTGAAGGCAAAGCACCTGTTCACGAAGTTAGAGGCTGCTCACGCCCGGGGTGAATTTGGCGATGTACCTCTACCTAGCCTGGCGCAAGTCCAGGAAGCCGTGAAGTATATCACGAAGAAGTTCATGAACCACGCGAGCACTGTAGCGGCTGTCCAAGCTGTAATTGTGCAGCACGGAATGCCGGACCATGCGGATGATGCGAACGCCCACGAACCATTTGTTTTTGGTGTCGCAACTGACAACGATATACCTACAGTTGGAGATGGAGGTGTAGATTCATTTCGCGTCGGTGGGTCTGATTCTGTACTAGTACTT